AAGAGAGTGTGGATATGCTATTGTGTTTTGTTTGCCAGGGGGAATCATTTTGCGCATGCACTGTAGCTTCTTTTTGCTTTTTAAGTGCCTTCCACTCTGTTTTTCAGGGTTTTTATGAGTGATGATCATTTGTTGGCCTGAAAGTGTATTGTGTCCAAATTTTGTGTTATTTCGTCCAGTGGTTTTTGAGTTATGTTAATCCCACAAACGAACATTACACTCACACACAAACATATATATAGGTTAAGCATCCTACATACACATCTTTGCTCAAACAGGCAGTTCTTTCTCACTAAAAGGAAAAACAAGCCATGAGTCTGTGCACTTCTTATGCCAAGTCCACTTTAGCCCTGTCTGATTTAAAACATATTCCAATATCGCTTGGAGCAAGAACAGCCTCACAGCCCATTAAGCATAGATTTCTTGTCTGCCATCAACTGTCGTACTATAGAAAAGGGAAAGGCAACAATGAATGACAGATGGTCCACATTTCTACAGCCTTCAGCTTGGCGTAAATAGGCATCGGAGTAGTTTGCACGGGGTCCTAACACCGCAAGATGTTTGCACAGCCATGGCCATCGCCAGAATCTTACACTAACCAACTCTGAGACATGTATTCTTCATTTGTTGTATGTATGTAATGCTTATATTAGCTGTGCATTTTGCACACTGGATGATGGCTGTTGCCGTGCTTTAACCATGTTGGTATTTGCTTGCACTTAAGTAGGATGGGGCTACTGGAGTGTATCTTAATGCCTGGCAGATTTATGGCTGTTGCTGCAAAAAGTGGGTATTAACTGCCAAATGCCATTCTCATGAGATATCTGGGTGACAAGATATTTGGGTTGGCCTTGCTTATTGACACATTGGGTGAAAAACCACAGAATATTTGCATTATTTTACATGTAACTGTATTGTGCCGTTATCAATGCCTTGCATCTAACCATGTCCATTGTGTAGTGAGCATATTGGTGCAGCATATAAAACAGCAGGTGACCAAGAAGTAAAGATGGAAAGGAGTCCCTGCTGCTCTGTCCTTCCTTCTTGCTGCTCTAGCCATTCAAAAGCTGTAATAGTACACAATTGGGATTGGCAGAATTACTTGCATGGAGTATAGCACTCCATGCATTTGTTGTTGTTGTTGTTGTTGTTCTGTGCCTTCAAGTCATTCCTGACTTACGGCCCGTACCTTGTGCCAGTTGCGCCCGTACCTTGGGAAGTCGGATCTGGCCACAGTGGTCCACGCTCTTGTTACATACCAAATAGATTATTGCAACGCACTCTACGTGGGGTTGCCTTTGAAGACTGTTCGGAAACTTCAATTAGTCCAGCGGGCGGCGGCCAGATTAGTCACCGGAGCATCATACAGGGAACATACCACCCCTCTGCTATGTCAGCTCCACTGGCTACCGATCCAGTTCCGAGCACAATTCAAAGTGCTGGTTTTGACCTACAAAACCCTTTACGGCTCCGGCCCAGCGTA